TCATCATCATCGTCATCATCATATTCATCACTATTATTACAATCATATGAAGGTTCAAGAGTTGTTAGCGATGAATTATTATCTTCATAATCTAAATGAATAAAAGAAAAATAATTATTCAATAAAAAGATTAAATTGATTGATAGTATTATTCTTAACTATTTTGAGTTTTATCAAAATAAAATTTAAAAAAATATTTATATATATATCTTAAATTAACGATGTTGCTATTAATATTTTTTTTGACCATGACACCGCATCAAAAGTAATTTTTTAAACAAAATTTCACGCATTTATTGCATTAAAAATGTTTGTTTGATGTATTTTACTCGGTGCAAAGGTAAAAAAGAAGTCATTAAATTTATATAAATATTATTATGAAGGTTTAAAGAAGAAGTATAAAAGAATATAAAATAATGAGGAAATTAAGATAGAGAGAGAACAGAGCTTAATCAATTCATAAAAAAAAGAGATAGATAAATAAATAAATCGAACTATTTTCAATAAGAAAATATCTATTTCTATTAAATATGATCAAATCATATAAGCGAAATATTTATAACAAGCAAAGAGCGAAGTTGAACAAATTCATTTCATATTATTGACATACTTTATTTTCGATATTATCGTCATTTGAACAACAAAACTTAATGGAAAAAATATAATATAGAAGAACGAAAAAATAAAAGTAAAGTATCTTTTAACTATAATCTCGTACATATTATGTATGAACGATTTAAAATCGTTATTATAACTGTCATTCAACTAGAAAGAATTTCTTTTAATTTTGACTAGGAAATCATTTGAGAGAATTTATCTTAGCAAAGAAGTGTTTATAATATAAGAAAAAGACTTATTATAGTAAATAGTTTTTTTTAAAGTCTATAAATATATTCAATTCTTCGTTCATGCAAAACTGCTTGAAGATAACTCAATATACACTTTCTAGAATTCATTCGAATGATATCTTTAATCGGATACAATTCATTATGATATATATTGATTTTTTCTAGTTAACATATGTATAATATACTATACCTGAAAGTTTACGTTTAATACTTGTATTTGATCTATATTCATCTTCATCATCATCATTATTATTATTCATAGGATAAAATTGCGGAGTGATTGTTGTCGATTGTACTAATGGAAGTGAAGTTGATGATGGAATATATGTTTTATACAATGAAAGATTGTCGCACATCATCGATTGATCTAAAATATAAAAAATTCTTCATATTGATTTACTTTTTTTTATTCTTTCTAATATACACGTGTATTACATTCAACAATCTATTTGTCTCGATTATTTTTTGACAATCAGCTGTTTTTTTACGATCTGTTTTCTTTTTTTCTTTTATCGTCTCGTTCTTTATGTGCGTGTTCGAGACGAGTTTCATTAGTCAATGAGCACGGGAGGA